CATTTTCCAACTTCATTCTTTGATTTTGCGAAAGACTCTTGATGTTTAAACAGAAGTTTACGTAGCCGAGTCTGTTGATTTTGATTAAGCTGCGAGACACTCTTTTCATATAGTTCATTTAAATGTTGCGGTAATTGGGTACATGTTGCATGGTCTGCCTTTGGTTCATGTGTTTTTGGTAAACTTGAAGCTAGTTGCTGTATGTCTCTCATTTCAGTTTCCTGTTGTAAGTTTAAAGGTAGAATGTTTTCTGGGATGATTCTGTGATGTTTGTGTTCTGTACTCTGTAGTCTGCAGAGAGATAAACTTTCCTCACATTTTGATATGTCTGCATTTATTCTCATTGGCATTATTGTTTCAACTTGGTGTAGTATAGAGAGGATATTTGTTTAGTTCAGTGTAAGATAGGAATATATTTCACCGAGTGAGCACCAAAAGGTATATTTCACGAGTGGCGCAGCCACGAGTGAAATATGAACTTTTGGTGTTCACAAGGTGAAATATATTTCAATCTTACACTAAACTAAACAAATTTTCTTTTTATTATATGCAAAGAAACGTTTTAAAAAGACATTTAGCCTAATACTGAATGATAAGCGCGCCAAATAATAATACAACGTGACGTCATTTACGACGTCACGTCATTAAGTTGGTACCCAGTTCTGTGCACGCTGGTATTTCACCGAAACAACGTAAGGGGCTTAAATTCAAAACAGTGAAATTATCAAAGTGGTAATTTCACTGTTTCAAACAGTGAAATTACCAGTTTTATATCACTGATATATTTCTATAAACCACCGAAAAGCATGTAATAAAAGTCCCTATTTTAGCCTTATTGGTACATTTCTTGAGTTGAGGACCTTAAGCGGAATTTTATTACTTTTAGGCGTGATTACACATCTACCAATTAATAACTCTCCTTTAGCTTCTTCTGTTGCTTCTAACATGTAGGTTGTAGTTCCTGACAAGGATATGTTGTTGCAGTGACCTGAAAGTATGTATTCAGAATTTGCCGGGATAGTTACTGCACGCGAAACTTTAACTTTGGCTGACTGTTCAACAGATCTGATAACGTCGCATGGTATCCATGTTTCTGAAATACATATGCCCTTCTTTGTGTTAACAGTGATGTCCTTCTCATCAATGATGTCACAGCCAAGCAAGACGTCATCCCGGATAGGAGCTACATATACTGGCCAAACAAATGAAGTCTTTCCAATGTTGAAGCTCATATCTGCTATTCCATCTGTTCTCATCTCTTTACCAGCATCAGCAACTGTAAGACGTCTTTTTGCCTTCTTAAGTTTCGGGCGACATTCCTCAGGTATCTCATTGTAAAGCCGATTACTTAAAAATTGTTCGTCTGACACCTTTGTTGTGGTGATGAAAAAATATGTTAATAAGTGTTTCTAAAAATAGAAGCAGGCCTCTATCCCACGTACAAAGAAAATGTACATGCTTTGATATTTTTATCATCTTATGTTACTGACTACAGTAGTGTCACAAACAGAACACTGTTGCACTACAGTCATGTCACATTACATTGACAAGTCTTGTAAGTCTTGATTGTATTCAATGGAATTGCTTTCCTTACCAGTTAGGCATCAGTGAAAGCATATATTTTATTTAAATATCTGGCCCCTCTCTTATGGACAGTACATGTATACGATAAGTATAATGATGCAAAAAATGATTTATAAAACATTCCGGAAAATGTACAAGAGTACTTAATCTAAATATAACATGACCTGTGCGTAGGAATGATTTGCTAAGGTATCTGTAATGAGCCCATTTTTTGCGCGGAGCTTCTCAATTGCTGCATTGCAGCAACATTTGTACTTGTAAATGTTATATTCTGGTTACAACTAGAGATGTTTAAAGATGTGCCGTCTGTCGGTCCGGCTGTTCCTTTAAACTGTGTTCACATACTACTTTAAAGACCTTAGAACTTTTCAAACAAATGTACTAAAAGTAGCAAGAGTTGAAACACGAGTTGATATATTTATTCTGAGAAAATTTGATCTTTTGGTGACCTGTTGTATAAGCATAATTACCTTATTATGCATGGGAACTTAACACATTACTATACAGATAAACTAAGATCTTTCATACATATCTCCCACAATGGCATAATGAATTGGCTATGGGCATTCCGAATGTTGCTAGGATTTTAACCGGTAGTGGACTTTGTATTGCTTGCAATACTATGATATTTGCATGTATTGTTATATAGTTCAAATTGTTAATATATGCTCAGTATCATTTGTTTGTTTGTTTGTGTCATTTTACGCCTTTTTCCAACAGTATTTCAGTCATATAGGCGGGTAGTTTCCTAACCATCGTTCCTGGAGAGTTACACCAGTACTTGACTACCTTCCTCCGCGCTAAACTACCAAAGCATCTCCCGGGGATCGAACCCACGCCAGAGAGGTAACTGGATTAGAAGTCATCGACTCTAACCACTCGACCACGGAGGCGGTGCTGCTCAGTATCAACGTATTATTTTACATCAGTATATCTTTATGATGATTTGTTTCCTACTTTAATGAATCTGTTATAAAGTTTTTGTACTGAAGTTTTAGCAAATATTTATAGTAGTAAACAAAGAGACACATATCTTACATCTTGCGAATATATTCCTGTTCTTTGAAATGTAACAAAAAACTGTCTTCATTTTTCGAGAAAATATTTAATATCTACATACATTTATCTGGTAAGCTCGTTATTGTGTCTCATTAATTATTATCTACTGTACATACATCTTCGTATGATATTAAAGGGATAATTATCAAAAGTGGGGAACATGAACATGTCTTTAAAAATACCACTGTGTAGCTTATTCAATTAGTGAATCTACGGTATGATTATATTGTCTAACATTTTTAAAGTTGATTTTTAATTTATTTCATTGTGTTGTATTGTTAAATACGTATCACACACGGATATCACATGGTATTGACATCACTATATTATGAGACACTCATGACAACCCTCTGAATGACATTTTGCAGAATATAACTCAATCATTCAATTAATAGATCTTCAATATAAAATGATAATAAACTTGCCATCCTCCGACCATAGTAATTATCAAGCAGACGGTTTTGCATTTTCGTCCTGCACAATTTATCGTTCATGTTATGTTACATGTAAAAGTCAACTAATTCTTTTTAGCAATTACACTCGAAACAGTGTTGCCTTTCACTATATTTAATGTAATGATGTCATCTTAAACATGTATGGCCAATTTACTCTAAACATGTTGTAAGGGAGACAAATCCTAAGCACAGAATAGGAAGATTGACCATATGCACTGAATAAACTCTTTTACAATTACATTGCTTTACAATATACAGGGGTAATTGTGAAGAAGTTAGACAATTTACATCCTTATTATAGTATACACTAAAACATTAGATTTTTACAGTAAAAAAAATATAATTTTGAAAACATGAACTATAGCAGTTAGCTTTGGACAGAAAAGATTAAGTAGGATTTGCGAAACAAGGCAAACAAAAACTAAAACCCCCATTAAAAATTTGTTGTTGTTGTTTATGTTGTTGTTGTTTTTTTTCAAAGCAATTATACAGTGTATATAAATGTATTGTATATTTTATGGATGTTTCTTTTGCTGTTGTTTTGTTGAAAACAAACACTTTATAATATGAAGTTCTATGTTTAAATTCGTAGAATTATTAAACTGTAGAAATATGAAGAAATTAGAAAATTTAAGTATCTGTTGTAATAAAATTATGCAATATTTTGTTTTTTTCTTGATTATTCTCTATGTTACATATATTGTCTATGTTATGTACACTGTAGATTAAGGTATTGGTAGATGAAACATGTCAACATACTAATATACCATGTATATGTATTAGATCTTAATGATTTCTGTTTAAAAACAGTATATTCTGTAATTTATATTCACATAGTTCACATAGGATGTTTATGAAAGGTTCACTGAAACTTATATGTCACATTGTGAAACATTAAAATACTACATTTCTAGAAATTTTAGAATATTTACTATTTTTCTGAAATGACATTACTGACAAAAATGCTCTTTATGCTGCAAATATATTGCATTATTTTCCTTTTCTTGTGTATCATGAAAGAGTTAAACTTATATTGTTAAATATACAAAATTAATCATTATATATTGAGTAAAGCATATAAATATATTTATTTATTTGACATTTGAATTATTTAAAAGAAAATTTGTTTCTTTGTTATACGTACTTAATATAAGTATCTCTCTCTTTCATAAAAATGTTGAAATTATGCAAAATGTAATCAATCACCTTTGTTGAAATTTGAAAAGTAGAATATCTTAAGATATTTGAAATACTATGTCTTCTCGGCTATATGTATAATATATATAATTTCACACTATTACAATAAGTATTAAATTACGATCTTTATGCTATAAGTACGTTGCGCACATTTTTTTTCTCATGCAAATCTAAGATTCAAATATGAAACTTTCTGTTTTATTACAAACAATTGATACTGAAATGAATGTTAAATTGTTAGAACCTGTTTATAACCTGGATATCTTTCGTGTTTGTTTTTTTCGATAGGCTTTTGTATCGTTTTGTACAGGTTATTATGAAAGGTGTAAACATTCTATTTGATCCATTAATCATACTAAATATGTTAACTTAATATATTTGTTTTTCACCAAATTGTAACTATATATTACTATTATCCTAAGAATGTAATATAGCCGTTTTCCATTATGTATTTGTATATGTTTATGTATGTATACTGCTGATGTTTCCCGCTATTGTGGGACTTGTGCATTTTGTAAATAAATTGAAATTGAAATTGTTTGTTCTTTAACTGGGAGAGATATATGACATTGTGAGTGGAAGTGGTGGATGTGGTTCCCCGACCCCACTCTCCACAGTGACGGGGAAAATAAATGGTAATTATGTTGCTGAAACTTAACACTAGAACATTATGTTAATCATGTATTTTTTGCTTTAAAATTCCAGTAAGACCCCAAGTGACATCATTAATAACAAGGAAGAATGGATTTATAGTACAAGGAACGTCACCATCTGACATAGCCATTGCTGAGGTAGGAGATGAGTTGGAACTAACATGTACTGCTAATATAGGAAGCTTGCCAGGAACTATTATTCGATGGCATAGAACATCGGAAACATCCCAAAATGATGACTTTATTGGATATCAAGCACCACAAGGAACATATGATGAGGGCACTGCAGTCAGTGACAATCAATGTGGATATACACGAGAAGCTACAACCAGATACAACACAACAGCAGCTGATGCCAATAGAGAAAACAATCTGGCATTTGAATGTTATGTTACCGTTACTGGAGATCCTTATGGGAACTCTTATACTTCTGAAAACAATCCGAGATTTTATACTGACGTCAGTAAGTTATCTATAACATTAAGCATTTGTTTGTGAATAAAATGATAATATTATGACATGACATGTCAGAAATATTTTCAGAGCTAAACAAAAGAAAGTCGTTTAACATTTATTTGTCATTTATCAACCTATAAATAACAATCATATTTGTACAATTCATGTGATCTTTGACTTTCAACAGTCAACAATTCTGAAAATATATTAAACATAAATATATGTATAGGTAAACATACATGAACATAAAATAAACTTATAATTTGTTAGGCAGATTTATATATCTGAATTTTTAAGGACGGTTCGGAAAAGGACTTGGTAAGCCTCTTTAAGCTTTTTTATTACAGATAAACCTAGTTACGAAGAGACAGGTAGTATAACAGGTAAAAACTTGTTAAATGCTCTTTTATACGTAGATCGGACTAGCATATTGACCTTTACACGCTTACATATAATGGAAAAAGTAAATTGTAAAAATTGACGCTTTATGTATGATATTTTGTTTAAATGTTGCCTAATATAGAGATTATTTCTGGGAGTTGTCTGGATTTGAAAAAATATTGTTACCCCTCATTATCTACAATATCAATGTCCTATAGGCCAATGAGAGTAATACGTTTTTATTCAGCGTCCAATTTTCCGAAGTTGCATAGATAGACCATGTCCTGAATGACTATGTATAGCTGTTCTGATAACATATAGTGCTTTATGCTTCTGAAACATCCTTTGGTTTAATAGTTAATGTAAACATCCTGTCTAGTCATCTAGTATAAATCTGCACATGAATAATGGAGGGTAAAAGATGAAGACTATTCACTAGCTCATGACCGGCATTTATGGGTTTTTGTTTTTATTTTTATATGAAATTCAGCAGATATTTTTAGCTCACCAGAACCGAAGGATCAGGATGATTTATTAGTATCAAAGGGGGATGCTCCGGCGTCCGGCGTCCGTCGTCATGCGTCAACATTCATCTTCTTGGACCACTGGACAGAATTTACTTCAAATTTGGTCTGTAGCATCCTTGGGACAGTCACACATCAATTTGCACATATCAATACAAATTGCCCCTTTTAGGGTCAGGAGAGCTAAAAATAGAAAAGACCTTTAAACATCTTCTTTTCATGAACTAATTGATGGATGATCACCAAACTTTGTCTGTAACATTCTTAGGTAGATTTTTATCAAATTTGCTCATGTTATTTCGATTGGCCCCTTTTAGAGGTCTCTAGAGCTAAAAATAGAAAAACCTTTAAATATCATCTCCTACTGAACTAATTGGTGGATAATCACTAAACTTTGTCTGTAGCATTCCTAGTTAGTCGTTTATCAAATTCGCTCATAATTATTTGATTTGCCCCTTTTGTAGACCGCTTAAGCTGAAATGCCGCAGGCAGCATGGCATTTCTTTAAACTAAAGTTTAATAATGAAAGGGAAACAACTCATGTTGGAATGTCCTCCATATCAAGTGACCAACTTTCTTGTTTTGTGGCGTACAATCTTAAAACATTTGTACCAGAGGTATGATTTCTGATGCTAAATGAAATTTTGATAGCAGCTGACCTATTTTTGATATCATTTGACCTACTTTTTTACTTTTTGATGTACAGACACGAAATTTGGACCAATGGTTAAATATCTGATGCTGAAGTGAATTATGATATCAGCTGACCAAATTTTGATATTTTTGATATCATTTGACCTACTTTCGTTTTTACAGACTTGTTATTTGGATCCAATGTGTAATTTCTGATGCTGAATTAATATCAGCTGGCCTACTTTCACTATTTTTGATATTGCTTGACCTATTTTCATTTCTTGTTGACGTAAGTTATGGTACCATATAGAATGTATAGAAAAGCTTATTTTTCCTAAACTGTAATTTTTAAACGTCAACACCTTACATATTTTGCATGTGACATTTTCGTGTTTTCATTCACAAAAATTGTCCCATCAAAATTTACCCTGTTCGTGTGGTCATTTATTCTACATAGTCTCATAGGAACACACTTGCAATATTTTTAACAAAGCCTTTCCAAAATATTAGGACAAAATATTTCACTTTATATAGTGGACAATGACATGAACAATGAAATGATGGTCAGATTTATAATGGAGAAAAATCAACAAAACAATCAGTGTTGTAAAACTATATAACTAGAGGAGCAAGTGGAGCTGGACTTGCCTTTCGGAAAGTTCATTCGAAAAATAATTTCTAACACGGAAAAAAGTTGTTTCTGATGAGCGATTCAGGGCCATTATGGTCCTATTGTTAATAATTGGTAGATATCAATATGTACACAGTAATTTTACAACTTCATTAGTGTATATTACAGTTAAGTAATTGTGTGTTCGTTTGTTATAGTAAGATTTAAATTTCAGACCATTTAAGAATTTGTTCTGGGTAATAAAATAAATAACACGTAATTTTATGAGTAACAGTTTTTGAAAAAAAAAAATCTTCACCTTTAAGGCAGGTCTATCGCTTTTCTATCTAAGATTCGCAACAGACGATTATAAGATAATTTTAGTATTACAATTATGAAAAAAGACCTTTTCCTTTTAAAGAGTTATTTTATGTGTAAATAGGTATGTATAAAAGCGCCATTGGGCCGTAACATATTAATTAACATGGTGCATATGTTGTATATACTAGCGACACATAAATCACCAGAATGCAAAATTACATCACGTCACGTTTGTTAGTTGTCAAAATATTTATGATCCTAATTTGATGGATCATCATAGGGGCCATTCAAAAGAATTTTTACTTTTTATGCCTGGATATTTTTTGAAATAACATAGATTTATATTATTGTTTTACTTTGTCTTAATTATTATGCAGCCGTTTTTCGAAACTATAGAATACTTACATTTTTGAAACTCAAAATATCTCTTGGGTACTGTATATTAGCAGAGACATACACTATCTACATCTCTGGTATTAGTACGATTTAACTGCCTGGTAAAACACGGTGCGACAATTATAATTTATTTTCATTATTTAGAATCAAACGAAAATGGTTACCCAGCAACATGGTCTAGTATTAAAAACAATCGTTAACCTTATTATGGTAAACATTCTATTCATTTGCCCATCCTTTCTATGTTATATCTTATTCAATTACAAACAAATTTGGCAATTTCAATTTGGCAATCTTACAAGAGAAAGGATTAAGATCTTTATATCCCTTTATTAATGTACTTAATCGTACATGTATCCCAAATGACGCCATCCAAGGGCGACAACTTGAATCCAGTCTTAAATGAAAGGGTCTATATAGTAAGTGTTGTTACCCGTATTTTCCCCATTTTTATCTCTCCTTTATCAGGTAACTAAAAAAATCATGGAGAAATATGGGACTAGGCTACGACCTATTCTTTTAAGGGCTTTCTGAAAATGATATACAGATAGTATAACCTCATATGTTTACATGTTATATGTGGAAAACTTCCTACTCAAAATGATATTTTTTTTATTATAAACGCGATTTCGATATTGAAATGACACGCTCACAGATTCCTCTAAAACAACATCACAAAGGAGATGACTTCCCTTGACAAAACAAGTATCTTCACCTTAAATATGGTGCATAAAACTAGCTTTATGTTGTTTAGTCACAGATCTTTTTAAATACATGTGTGTTCTGAATCATAAACGGTCTGCGTACCACGTATGTGGTTAAGTCTTTAATAAATAAAGTCTTTGTATAGAGATATGTTGTTAAGAGTAAGCACTATCAACACTATTGTTATTGCAGGTAGAAACGAGATAAGTGTAGCAGCAGGAGTTATGGCCGCGATTGTCATTGCCTCACTAATTGTTGGTATTCTAATCGGTGTTGTTTTTACATGGGTTGTTTTAAATAGAAAACGGACAGCAACAGGTACTCTCAATAGCATTATATAAACGCTTAAATATCTTGTCGCGCATCCGATTACGGTACATCGATTTGCCGACGCTAAGCGTAAACTGCCCTTTCATAACGCATACCTTCTTTACAGAAAAAAAAACCTTGTAATTAAAGTCAAAGTGTTTCAATTAAAAAGTTAAATGTCATGTTTATGATTTTCTAAATTTAATTGAAATTAAAATAGAATAAAAATGTATAGGAAAGACGTGGTGTGAACTAAATATTCGATAAAGTGAAACCGAAATCTATCTTCTGGATATTCATAAAATAACTCAGTATTTTGGAAACTTTTAAAACACCTGATATCATTTTTAATGAAATAGGCCTGAAGAAGCAAAATCAACACCAGCCAACATCAGTGTCACGAGAAACAGAATTATTTAATGTTCCGTCACATTCACCGTAAGTAGCCGTCAAATATTGTTTTTTTTATATTTTATATATTGATAATATTGGTTTCGTCTATTTCCCATGGTTTTATCACTTCCAAATAAATATACTTAATGATTAAATATACATGATGATTAAAGATAATAAAGATAAATTTCAGGAATAGTTCACACTTAAAGGGACACCACTGAGGTTTAAAAGCCTAAAAACATAACATTTGAATTTCTTACATAAATGAGCTGGGGCACTTCAAACAGAAATATATGCAAAGATTGGTAAGAAATATAATTTGAATAAATTAAAAATCGTATTTTTATCCTTTTCTTAGCCCGATTTGATTGAAAAGCGTTTAAACGCTTTTCATTTTGGGACATTGTTTTACAATTAGAATAATTATTCTTGGAAAATGATGTGTGCGAATGATCTGAATTTTTTCACAAGATCAAATGGTACATTTATCTGGAAAAAAATTTCAGTCCCATCATGTCAAAAAACCTCAGTGGAGTTGCTAATTAATAATTAATAATTATTATTAATGTGAGGAATAAAAAACCGCAGAAAGATGAATATTAAACTTAGCTGTTATTTGCAAGACCACATCACAAAATCTTATTATATTTATTTAGTTAATAATAAATAATAATATTTTTCTAGAAATACCTACGAACAACTTCAAAATAGAACAGAAACTGAAAGCAGGATGGCTTATGATTCTCTAAACGGTATTATATTTGTTTTTTAATTTACACTGCGAACTATAAATATGAGCGTTATTGTTATTTTATCACATAGTTTTTGGCTTTAAACTGTACAGTTCACTATTCCATAACTAATTTGTGTCAAAGGGAGTTTGACAATAATCGGAATATTAAATCTGAGCGATATGTTTAGGTTTGTATAACCAATATGTTTGATGCGTAGTAATGGATCATGAAGACTGTAGGCTTGTGTTCTTTATATATCCGCATCAAAACGACAGAAAGAAATTCATCGATGAGCAAAGACCGGTTCGATGTCATTTCAATTCTAACATGATAACGAAAGGACAAATACGGGATATCACCTTTCGCTATGTTTAAGTTTAAGTTGACAGGTTTCAATATATTGTTTTATCCCCCATTTTACGTCTGAATTCTTACAACCCAGTAGAAATAATAAGAAAAATAACTGTTTCATTTGTATTATGGTTAGTTCGTTTAGTCTTCAAGTATTGACATAAATTTTACTGATGAATTCGACTTAACCGTAATTAATTTAATTTAAAGTGGTATTATGCTCATATTTTCATTGCCAATATAAGCTGAATTGCCTATATATTTCAAAAGATGGACAGTCACAATAATAAAACTCGGTCATTATTATTTGTTTCTAAAATCATTTAGCAATATTATTATGTGCATGCATAATTTGTTTATGGTCTAAAACTATTTTGATTATATTTCAACATTTACCATATGAAACCCTTTATTTACTCGTGTATGTATATTAAATGGTTACAAATGAACATTGCATTTTCCCATGTCACTTATTTCATAAACAAATGTCCAATATTTATGTAATTTTATATTATGCTTCAGCTGCTTCAGCAAATTCCAGCACAGTACCAGACAGGTAATGAACTAAATTAATGCATATATCCCTGACTTGTCAAATTCTAATCATCAGATTAGCGAATACAACAAGAATTTCACCACAATGTTTGTTAACAAAGAGCACATGTCAATGTTTGTGGTTAAATCTAATGTTATTCAAATGAAAGATTAGAGTAGGGATCTATCAATTAAGTTTAAACTGAAGAAAATTATGTTGTCAATATTGTTTTGTACTGTTTATGATAAGGAATTTACATACATAGCTGTCACGAAATTATTTTTATATTGATTTTTCAATATCTATAACATTTCGTGTCTACGTACCATGACGTTTTTAAATGATTTATTCATATCACTGATTTCAGCCAATCACAGTATGAGAGTCTTAAACATGGAGGAGGAGGGACATCTCACACTTACGCAGGTCTAAATATCAACCAATAAAATTTGAAAGATGTACCTTGGCTGCTTCGACTGCTTCACCATATATGTACTAGATATAGATTTTTGACACATTCTTTAATTGTCTATAATTTTGTGATTTATTCGTACACACAATAAACATTATAAAGGGAATTGATTTTGCAGGAGATTACTCCGAGCAAATGAAGTTATTTGAGCAATTCGAGTTCGACCAAACGGAGTTCACTTGTATTTGTGTAGATATGACAGGGAAAATCAAATGTGTTGTCATCTCATACCTTATCAATTTGATAACCAGGCTTTATTAAAAAGTAATTTTTCGTATCTCCAGTTTAAATGATCATTAATGCACCCAATCTGTTTAAAATCAACTGTTAATAATGTTCTGTGTTTAGATCTGACCATCAACAAATACGGAGTAAATTCTCAAGACCTTTCAAACAGCCAATTATCCGCAATCTTTAATAATTTTGATTCTGTTTCTATATTTAAACGCTGGAAAGTCAATATCGAGAAGAAGGTCATCACGATTTCGAACGATTTACAGGCTGTCCACCCCTCAGGCCAATATTTTGCAGACACTTCACCACTCGGACAGTTCATCCTCGTTTTAAGAAATTTGATTGAAACACTTCACCCACATTTTTTTATCTTGTGTTCAAAAATATCTACATGTTATTTAGAAAATGTTAGAATTATAATTGTGGTCAATAGTCACTGCTATTGAGAAAAGTATTTGTTCTATAATACTTTACTTTTGTTTGAAGATGAACGGAATAGAATAGTGTATATTGTTAGTGTAATCCATTGGAAAACATATAAAAATAACGTTCATTAATTTAGTGACAAAATAATGCTTTAAATTTGTACTTAATTTTCATAACTTGTGCTTTTTTATTTTACTTTAAGAAGTAAATCCATAAATGAAAAGTCAAAATGTCCTTAAAAAACTGTGAGTTGTTTATAAAGATATTGAAATCCATAAACTGTATACCATTAATTAACACATGTTATGCATTAAATCTAATTTCAAAGGTATAACAAAAGATGCATACAACAAAGCAAATAGAGACACAAACCACTAAGTTCTAAATTTCCTTTTTATCAGGCATGCATGTAAAGCTTCGAGCATTTCCTGGGACGTTTTGTGCGATTTAACTTAAGTTTGTGTTGTCTGTTTGCTGAAAATATTTATCACTGTTTAGATGTTCGCTTACAGAAATGTTTAATACTTTATCATTCAGAGAGAATATGAAATATATTGTTGTTGTTTGTTTTGCTCGTTCTTTTCCTTATCATTGTTTTACACGTTTTCTCGAAATAAAACATGAGTTCGTCTTACGGTACGTCATTTTCATAACATCACACACAAAGCGGTAGATTAATTCAATATTACACATCATACATCTATACTGAACAACAGAATGCCTAAAGAACGCTTTAAACGGTACAATTGAAATCTTTGCAGTCTCGATTTGATTGAGCATCATAAACATGGATAAAGGTAAGATAATATAAGATAAGATAAGATTTCTAAATTTCCTTCAAGAATGAAGAGATACATGTTATACAAATTACAAATACATTACAACGTTAACAAAAAAAACCAACAGAAACAGTGAGAAAACTAGTGAGTATTAGTTGTAAGTAGCAACGGATATATATCCTGGTACCAGTTTTGTACCAGTAGCCCAGTAACAGTGTTTTTATATATACATGTATGTTAGTGTTATAAATGTGGTATAGAAGTGAAGTAAATAATGTTTTAACAAAGAGATATTATATACAATAAAGTTAATCGCTAAAGTCAAAATTAGAGACTTTATTTATAAATGGTATTCGGGTTTATCCTCTGGCCTTAGATTCTTAGCGAGACGAAATAAAAGTATCGTAAAGACGAAATTCGACACCTATCATTTACTTGTAATATATCTATATCATAACATAGTCAACCCTAGTGAGCAACATTAGCTAGCTGGGTAGCTTTCTCACATCTAGAATCATGCAACGCTTTCGCAGTTTGGACCTTAAAGCGATGAGAGGCGACTGTTGAAGTCAACGACGGTTACAACTCGGCCCTTACTAAGAGAGTTTACTGTAGGATTGAAACATTCTCGAATCCACATTTCATTATTAGAATTTTATAATCAAACTCGATAGAGGAATATTAGCAATGAATTGCAACATCACTGAATCAGATTTAGAAGTACTGTACCTGATAAAGATAACTTAGTATGTATATTTAAACCTTATTTTTTTAAAAATACAAACTATAATCGTTTTTATAATTCCAATTTAAAATTGTTTCAATGTATGAAAGAATCTTCTCAAAATGGGGAGTTAATATTCTATTTTTGAAGAATATATTGAATTACAATGTACAAAGACCGACACGCATTATATTTCCACAGTTTGCATGTGACACATTATTATAGTCATTATAAACTTTATCATATTAAAGCCTTAAACAGGTTATACACTTATAATTGATCAATCAATGTTTTTAATTTGCCGTAATATAAAATATGAAAAACAAAGCCAACAAGGAAGGGCGGCATTCAAAGTCACAAAATTATACTATACTTGGCCAAACATCGAAGATTTGATGATTGCAAATCTTATAAGAAGCGATATATCTTTAGGTATAAGGATTTTATGCGTAGTTGTCGTTTTAATGAAATACAAATTCTGTAACGAGTAATGTGACATAGAATTAATCTATTTAAGGTAACATCTTGTTTATTTAATATTTATCGAGTGTTAATTTCCATATTTTAAACATGTAAACTATTAACTTTTATTTGCTTTTTTATCCTTTTCTGTCAGAGTTTTTACAACGTTTATACAGGTAAATGGACTTAAATTAAAAACAAAAGAGATATATTTATTCTAAATATCATAAATTGTAGCTTATGACTACAAATTCATATACTAGCTAAATGGATTCCATCTGTTTTATGCCGGCTTACAAAAAGTTTAATAAACCAATTGTTAGTCTGTAGTTTCTGGAACGCGTTTTATTAAATGGGTTAATCATACCCTATGTGCTTTGGGTTATGTGATTAAGTGATTAAATGAAACTGTAGTTTCATATTACACTAATTAGGTTAAAAAAGTATCAAGTATTTGCATTATAACAATAACAATATCTATATGACCATCGATGAAATAAATTAAGGAACTAATATTATACAAATGTATTAATATGTTATAACAGAATATTTATATACGTGCTGTTGTAAATGCTGGGTTTGTCTCTTATTTTTATATAAGTTTAAAATGCCTGATACACTTACAACCAGTGGGAAAACACATTTGTATCCAAGTGGCACAAGCGTTTTGAGAGGGTATCATTTTAATGTATGGTGACAAAAGTTCAGGCCGCACGACATTGTATGTCACTTTAGGAACAACGTGTTAGATAAGAAATTTTTGATTATGACAAACGTTATAGCATGCGAGGCATTGCAAAGCAACGATCTCACTTACATATAAAAGGCTAGTGTCGTCAAATTTCTCGACGTTATTACCAACTGTTGCCTCACACTTGTGAATGTAAATGTACCAATATTGCACTCGTTTGTACTTTAGTAATCATATACTAAAATAGTATCATCCTTAAAGTGCACGTTTTATTTAAAGACTTTATTCAAAGGCAGTTTATGAATCCGAATGTTTTAAAACCTTTTAGTAATTTACCGGTACATGTTTGAATCCCATACCAATTTTGACAACCACATGCAACTCAATGTCATTTGTTGAATTATGCGCAGGTTTGATGCCAAAACTATACAATATTTCTGTGACATAACCACCCAAAACAACATCTTCAAATTTTCCTGAAATGATGATTACGTGTCATTTGATAAGTCATTGGACGAGTGTTAACTTTGACTGGTATAGATTGTATAATGAATTCATAATAATCTTATAGAAACTTTACTGTACTGATCATTGTAACCCCTGGAAAAGCTTTAGGAATGCAGACAATTTTATTGGTAAATAACTGAGACTGTCAATCACTTTGATATGTAAATCTCGCTCTTTTGCTATCAACATAAATTGTGAGCCACTAAAATGATCTTCTCGAGCCTCATAAATTGGTATATGAGATACTCTAAAAGAAAATACCCGTCATAACATTTCATGTTATGTACAAAAAATATCGTGCTGCAGGGAAAATAACCATTCAACTTATTGCAGTATTCGCCCCTTCAAACGTGATTTCCCTAAATTCGCATTTACCCGAGCACGGGCTAAGTTTAGTGCCATCAAGTGTCATCACACTCGTCACAGCGTGAACCGCACTATGTACAAATTTGGGGGACATTGGCTTATCAATAAATTTAAGACATACCGTGAGAGCAACTACAAAATTGTGGCGATGCGTTGCTTATCAGCACCAAGATAATTTACAGTGTTGGCATTTAGAACAATATTTACATACCTTCTGTGCTTGACAGTCTTTACAATAAGTTTTCTCTTACTAGGTAAATATCCGATTTCACATACCGAAACTTCATCTTGACAACATTCAAAATTGAAAAAAAAATACAATCACAATAATCCTAACGCGGTTTCGTTCTCAGATAACATTTATGTTCTTTCATCATGTTTTTTACACGAGTTGCAAAAACATCCTCACATTGATGTTTCTCTGTTTTCCTATAACTTTGGGGCATGTAGGAGATTTCCAATATTTTTGGCATTGCAATTGTGTTTTTACATTTTTGTTTTCCCCTTTTTATAAATTGTTTTTTTTTCTGAATGTTTTTCGTAACATCTTTCGGACCTACAGGTCATGTTACAATTTTTACATTTTATTTTGGTTTCAGTTTCTATACAATTGTCCATTTTGCAAATAATACATGAAGATTTACATTGATGATTCTCTCTCTAGTTGAATTGTTTAAAGCATTTATTCGCCAAAGTACCTCGTGCTGTAGAAGCCCGTGATGCTTGTGATTGCGTGTAAGTGATCGTCGACGACATTTATAAATAAACATGGGCGATCGTCATAACTGTGACTTGTAATAAATTTATTCCCAAGTTTTGCACTGACCACCATCACGCGTACACTGAGGCTTCTTCAAACACCTCAATAACGTTGAAACTAGCTGGTCCATCTAAGGGCACTCCTGCTAGCTGACCTATACTTACAGCTATTTTTTCTGTTCTTCGCAAGATTTGCAACTTAAATGTTTACTCCGGAACTTGCTTGATCCAAATAACTTTTGATGATTTAGTTTAGATTTTGTTTAGTGATATCTTTCCATCCATCTTGCCTTCTTGCGTACATCTATTTAATGTCGCCCAGCTTACTTCAACTGCTCTCGCCATACACAAATAATCGTCATTTTCAATTGTAACAAAGGATGCTTTTAGTTTTAATGAATTGTGTTTTCCTTTCAGTTTAGTTATTTTACAGCGAGGGTCTCCACTTCTTTTTGGCAAATCGACTGCTCACATCGAAATATCCGCACTTTCGTCAATGTGTAAATCTTGATTACTGTGAGCACGTTTTCAATACTTCCCATTACCTCATCGGCATTTAACTGCTCCAAGGGCTGGAGGGGAACGCATTTAGGATCATTTAAGCCTTGATGGTGGAAAACAACGCGGCCAAAATCGTTCCCCGCCAAATTTTCCCGGGCTTCCTGCAACATTTCTTCAAACATTTCTGTATTCACTATTTCTTTTTAAAAAAAAAACATACTGATTTTCATTATTTGTTTGCTTATTTTGGTGAAATGTTTTATCATAACATTTCTAAGATATGTCATATATCATTTTAGATAACGAGTTTATAGTACAGTCAATATCATTCTTTCCTGACATCAGTTTATTACAATTTTTTAAAGGAAATGTCTGTACATTTTGCTACTACTTAACCTTTAACTGAATTAAAATGATATAGGGCCCAGCCATAACACAAACATCGGTCAAGTATGAAAAAAAATCAAAGTCCACTGTATTCATAACAGCTCTATTTCTGAATTTTGAATGAAAGGTACAAAAATCTGGTTCTACCCGCCAATTGGCTATGATAAAAAAATCTTATCACAAAGTTAATAGTCAGTTACCAAAAGAATTAACGTGTGTATCGTTGTTTGGTCGCCTCGGATGTCACTGGTTTTCGTCGGCTGGCAGCACAGTGATCAATCTAACTGAATGTTCTCTACATGTTTCGGCCTCTCACCCGTTCGAGCATTGAAATCGTCCATTCAATAGACTTGAGTTAGGTTATTATATTTACAAATATCACCATTTAGTTGCTCAAAAAGTCAAACTATAACAGTTAGGAATTTACATCTTTGTAAACAATTCAATTATTATGGTGGAATGTAACAAGTACCAAAGTAAATATCTGTTTCACATCCAAAATGCTCAAATGTTTTCAATTTTATCCAAATTATACCGTGTAAGTTTATATTCACAATGTCAGGCTTATTTACCAACTCTATGTGTAATAAATAACAATGCCTCCACAACTACGTTTCGCTTTTAGTTTATTGTTAGATCTAGGACCATGTACAAATTCATTTTTTTAGATTTGTAGGTTTTGAAATCCACGTCACTGTTAGTAGTACAATATCATATGACGAGATAAGAATTATTCAGCTTAGACTTTAATCCATTTATACGTATTTAAAGATAGGATATTTCAAATTTCATTTCCTATTTTGTATAACCGCAGGCCGAAGAAAACTGTAGTTGGGCACCTGTAATTGTAGTTCTGGTATTGGGAGAGAGTATACCGTGTTCATTTCATAATTGTCGAAAAGTGTGTCTATACGTAGACTTGCTTTATCCCAGCATCACATGCTTTCTTCAGAGTCTCCGTCGCTGCTGTACCTGAACCGAAAACTGATCGTTTACACTGCGATTTTTGGGTCCTTTCTTGTCAAGTATTTTCTGTTTTATTTCTAGCTTGTCTTCATGATATCTAAATTTCAAAACAATTGGGCGTTTTTGTTGGCCTAAATTTTCCGATTTTACTTGAAGCATATTTTATTTTTTTAACATTTCATACAAAAACAGATACATTGTCACATGCAAACAAACTACAAAACAGTAACGAATAAATTTACAGTTATTAAATGGATGTTATAGTTATTATAAAAAAAAACAATGTTTTCTGATTCTATGCGGTCTGTGTTGTGTGCGTCTAAAAACCTAGTGTATCATAACAAAAATCTAAAAGTTTCTTTTCATAGTTCTTCCCCTTCCTTTCAGTAACTGGCTCGCATTCATTAAAATCAAAGAATGACAAATTGTCTCTCATTGATCTACTTTGCACATCAATCCAATCCTCTTGTTCGTGAGTAGTCCGTCAAGCTTATCATAGCCGGATTTTTTTTCACACAAGTTTTCGAATCAAACGCTCTGCCTGTCTTTATTTCATTAACATTGCTTTGTAAGGACTGGTGTGGAAATTTACCGTCATATCATCATTTTTCATGATATTATTTATTTTTAAATTTCAGCTTAACCATGAATTCTGTAACTAAACCGATCTTAGTATTACATGTGTTTCTAAGTGTAATCGGTGAGTATGAAGTTTTATTATTCATTTGAACAAGAAAATAATAATGAAAACAAAGAGTGATGCATTCATTTTAAACTTTTCCTTCAAGAATATGTTGTATTATTAATGATTTTAGTTTATTTTATCAAAATACTTAACACATTTCGTAATGTTTACCTTAACATTTGAATAAACTGCAAACATTATTAAACGTTCTGATATGAGCACAATTATTTTATCACTTTAGTAAACTTCTCCCTTTAAGATTATTGAGTAATACAAGAGATATTCTAACTATTCACAGAATAGAGTGCCCGACACAATTTGCATACAATATATAATTGTGTTGAAATGTGACAGAATTTCAGTGTAGTGATGCAACTGAAATCTAACATTGTTGGCCATTATCTTAAATGATGTTTGCCTAAACTAGCTTAATAGTATTGTGGAAAACAACTAGAAAAAAGTCTCTTACACATTTCTATTTGAAGAAAACAACAAGGTCATTATGTGCAAAAAGATGCATGACACATAAAATATGAAAATATGAATTTGAATGGTTAAATTATGAAAATTGTTTTGAAAATAAATAACTTTTTATTGATATTAAAGCAAAGGGTAAAAGAAATATGGCTGATTGATTTGAATAACAGATCAGAAGGCTCCACAATAGCACTGTTTTAGTACAATTGTTAGTTCTAATTTTAGTAAATATCTAGATGTTATAAATATACGTGCGTACATAATAGCTTTAGCACGTTTACGCACGTCATCTCAAACATTTAGAATAGCTGTAGAATCTGAAAGATGGAGAAAACCAGAATGTATTCCTTTTAATGAACGAATATGTCATATATGTAATACATTAGAAGATGTATATCATTTTGTACCTGTATGTAATATATTTAAAGATCTTCGTAAAAAATATATAGCAACGGATAGATACAATGTATATTTTCTATTTTATATGTAGATATATCTATAGCATAATGTTATGTGTGATGCTTACTAATACAAAAGTACTTTGTAAAAACAAATTGCCTTACGTTTTAATTTCAATCATGATAACCAGCTATTGATATTTACCCTTACAGTCAAGTGTTACATATACTGCTAATTCATCTTCATTACAAATTAAATATAAACGATGGCTCAAAAAATTATAGATACATGTATATCTATATCTTTTTATAAGGCTACTTTAACTATTTGGTCAATGTAACAAAATGCTTTATGCTATATGCTTTATATTGAGTACTTTGATTATAACTTGTTACGTTTTAAGAATGGTTACGTTGATGGAGACTCCAAATATTTCTGTTTAATATGCCGGTGTGCTCTGTATTTTCGTTTTCATATTTCGATGGGGCATTTATGTGTTATTTTGTAGAACTGTGTATCATTTGGTGATCGCGTTCTTTTTAAGAAAGATCAAAATCCTTATATGATTATAATATTTTATCTCGGGCGTCGAACCTTGTTAACCATATTTTGATATAGAAAGAAATATATTTTGCCTTATTGTAATATTTATATTCTTCTGCCTCTCCCAAGCGAGATAACATGTGCTCTTCTTAGGGTTTCAGTACATATAAAAGTTCTTGTTCTATGAAATTCTTTTTATCTTTACGTGAATTTTATTATTTACAATGTGCATACAAAAACAAAATGATACGTAAATGGTGTATCGTGTCATAATTCTAACTGTTTAGATATTTCAGATTAGGCTATATGCAATTTTTCAGTAAATTATGTACCCTGTTCTTATATGCTTTAAAGGTGTAAGAAGATTTAATATTTGTATTTCTTTGATTTTTAGTAGCTATCGATCTAACATGTGACAGCGTGAATACTTTGATACAATCTGATGTGACATGCATATGTAAAAACGCACCGGACATAGACTGGTTGATTGATGATGTGTTCAACTCAAACTGTGTACTGTCTTCAATATGTGTACCCCAGTACAGTGGTTACAATTACTCGATTAACATAACTGAAAATGTTTATAAGATGACTATAAACTCATATGATTATAGTAATTGTACAAAAATAACATGTAAAGATACAAGTGATAGTAACAAGATGCAGTCGATTATCCCTTCTTCTTTAGGTGAGTATTTTTTATCATTTGTTGTTAAGGTATTTTTCTATGTCTATTTGAAATAATTAAAACAAAAATAAAACAAAATACAAACAAACAAAAGAAAGAAAACCAATGCAAAAAGGTTTTAATAAAAGGAAAACTTTCATTCTTTAGGTTAAAAAAGGGGACAGCACGGTTTAGAGATTTAAAATATCCGAGACCTTTTAACTAAAAAAGTTTGTTTCCCGGTAACTTTTTAACTTGGACTTGTATGTGTTCTAGAGATACTTTAAAGCATTATATTAATTTTAGAATGTTCATTGAGATTCCCTGATTTCAGAATTGTAATTTTCAAATAACCAATGACATTCCTACATACATTCAGTTGTTTCCAGTAGATTTAACAGACATTTAAACCGGTCCGATAACATTTTGTAACATATAGCACAAAAAGCATATACATTTGTATTTCAGTATTCGATACGACCTACCCAACATCACTGATAGAGCCTGGGTCGAACAACAGCAACGGTATAAATTCTGTTACAACTGGTTGTATTTCTGGTTACTTGGACGTGCAATATGAATGGTATATTATTGTAGTAAGTATTTAGAACTAAGAATTCTTTAAAATATGTCCTTACATTATAGCGGAATTTCGCTGCTGACATTGTTGTATTATGTAAGCACCACGACTTAGATTTTTTTATCGTAAGATACGTTCCAATCATAGCATATTTCACTTATAAACAAGCTTGCTTGTTGGAATCATTCAATGTAATGTTATGAAAATGTTTTACTCATTATTATTATTATAACAAATGCGTAACAGTATATTTGTAATGCTAGTTTTGATAAGTTTAATGCTGAACGCCATTAGAGAAAGCGATTTTCTCAATAAAAGCGATCTTGTATGACACGCATACCATCAATTAGTAATTTTTCTCACCCGTCCGAGCGGAATATTATATGTTTACAATGTAACTTCAACATTCTTTTATATTGGCAATGTTTCATTTTTAACGTGCTCAAGGATGGAGTGGAAGAAAGATATTCTGTATATAATACAAGCATAATCGACACGATTGACAACTCTTTGTGTGTAAATTGCGACACTGATGTTAATGGACAGAGAACAATTGGGTTCGAGCATAGTGAGGCATCAGGATCTGGAACTAAAACCGGTCTTTTAAAGGTGTCCTTGCATCATGTCTCGACAAATTTGCACCTTAATTTAACATCAAGATATTACTACACAGTGAAGGGTAAGTTAAAATTACCACACTCAAATAGGATTGATTTGTGTTTTAGCAAAAACTCAATTATTTAATGACCAAATAACTCTATATATGCGTCATGTGTGTCTATGTCGCTCAGAAAGGCAATCAATAAAAAACTGAAAACATGTTTATTTTTCCACTCTCATATTACAGGATGATACAACATCCATATCCGCGCACCTATCATTTTAATTGTTAAAGATTTAATGTCGTACCCGATAAATAAATAAAATACGCAACAATCGCTACAATGAAGAACTAATTGTCGTTCCCTAACGCTCGCTTTCTCCATTTTATTGAAGACAACAACAATTTGATATTTACGTTATAATAAGGCCACCGACCCATTATATACAATGCAACATGGAGTATCATTAAGATACGTCCCTCCCTCGATTAATATCATCTGATATACTACTAATATGATGTATATAAATATAGACATTATACGTATTGTTGTATCACAACTTGAGTTCTTTAATGAGTAAGAATCATTTAAATTTGTTCTTCCACTATATACCAATTTAGTAAGTATAGTTGGCGAACTTCATTATATTTATAACAATGAAAAGCATGAAATTCACAATTAATAAAAGAGATATTTCTATTATTTTAGCAATAGGTACAAAAGCGTTGTTCTCTAGGTATGTTTTAATGTCTGTCGATTTCTATTTAGAACACATAAGCTTAGACAAATTTTTTATAAACGAATGGTAAATCCAATATTAAGTATTTTTCTACATGTGATAGTGATTTAAAATTTCTATAATGAAAGCATCGACTGGATATATTAATATCATTATGCCAATTTTGAGTGTAACAATCAACCAGTCTGTGTCTGTTTAAGCAAATGGATAAACAATACAGGATTACCTATTTCTTGCGAAATCCAGGCAAACCCAAAACCATACTCGAATAATATTTTTTATCTCAGTAGCCCAATTATATCTCCCACTATCATCATGAGTTTTTAACATAAGATAGCATTGTCGTGGGTATCTTGATTGTTGCATAGTCAATAACTTATACCAATATTCTAAACGATCATATAAAATATACATACATTCTCCTAATGTCATTGTTTGTGGTTCTGTTAAAACTAAGGCATCTTTTACAAAAATCATAATGAACAGTTTAAATAGCATTTACTTAACAATAACCCCATACTTGTGAGGCATAACATAATATTTTGGTTTCACCAAAGAATCAAACAATTTAAAGTATTCTTTGATTGTAAATATATCCGAAAGTGATGACTAGAATAATTTTTTCTTCGCTGAATAGACAATTTATTGTGGGTTGATGACCAAGATATATTTATAAATTGATACTACATTAACAGGAGATCCACGATCCAACATTCATAATTTCTAAGACCTTGTTAGGCAGCACCAGGCAGATGTAGTTACCTCTGTCTTGAAACGGCATACTGACCGGACATTTTAACCTTGAATTACACCATACAATGCTTTCCTCATACAATGGACAAAAGGCATTCATATTATAGTTCAGATACAATGTGTGATGAGTAATAACATATTTGCCTTTTTTCTTAACTTTGTTTCTTTTGTTCAATGATCACAATTATACAGTCTGCTGCTAGTAATTGTGATTACCTCAAAACTTCCTGAAAAAGAAGTTCGACTCACAAATTATGTATAGAACTTGAACGACATTTGGGTATACGTAGACATGAACGAATTTGCCAAAACTGTTTACAAAATGATAACTATTGTTTTATTCGAGATGAATTTCACGGGGTTTTTTTATTTCCCAACGAAGACAACGTTAAATATCTCCCTGGTACAGTCATGATAATACATTCCATAGTTTTTGCAACTTGATTTAAACTCAAATAAAGAATACATGTATTGGTGTTTTGTTTATTACATTATGAACATTATTGAGATCAAAAATAAATAGGAAAAGCATGTCATAGATATCAACCTGTATTATGTTGTATTCTATGATATAATTATACATAGTCCTATAGATAGGTACCTTGCTTCATATACATGATTAATATAAATATATAAAATAGGGCATTGTTAAAACATGTTGCTTAATTCAATTTATGCTTTGCAGATTCTTATATATAAGAAAGCGTTTTTCGTGTTTCTATGTCCTCTTTGAAAGTACATTGTAATTGGTTGATTGACACACTAAGGAAACGAAGTGACATAATAATATGTAATAACATGTATATATGTATCGTTATTTCAAACGGATACATGAACCACCTTCTGAATATAGTCTTTCATTATTTAAGTCAAGCACTTTTTCTTTTGATACTGTATTAAGCCTTCATATATGATCCTGAATTAATGAGAAATTATATAAGTTATATCGGGAACTCATCGTTTTAATGCATTCAAAATTCAATTTTAAATGCCAACCTTCACACTCCCTTCTTTGCCACACGGGCAACATCCACAACACGGTTGTCTGTCGTGCAGACCGAGTGTCACAAAATAGTTAAAGGCAGACTATTTGTTTATGTAAAAATGTCATTATATGTATTCTAAAACGTAAAAAATCATCATTTTAGAGATCATTTGACCATAAAATACATGTATTAGGAGACCATATGTGATCTTTCTTAAGACACCTTTAATCCCAATAACGCCCCTTCTTTGAAATAAAAACTGAGGACTACACGCCTCTGTCTCCGTGCCTAAAAGGCCGGATAGACCGTCATTCAACCTAGAATACACACAATGGTTGCCTATATATTGGTGCCAATTCTTTGTCTATCATATAATAAAGATAGCACTGAGTAACTTGCGGAACATTAATACCTTATTTTATTTTATTTATTGTTTACAATAACCAATATAACACTTCATTATAAATTGAATGATTAACCAGTTCCTTTAAACATTCCATCGTTTATCACGATTTTAACAACATTTAACAACTATGTCTTGAAGATCAATTACAATGAAACTGATTCAATTGTCATAAAATGGACACTCCTCTCTCTGATCTTAGATGCAACAATCATTATCACGGTCATTGACTTAATTATGTCGGCCTTTTCTTGTGAAGTACTTAATTACGATACGGGTCGACTCTAATAGATGTATTCAAGAAATCGCTATGTCTTTATAGGATGGTATCAAACATACATCTATTAGAACAAAAACGGACATTTTATATAATTATTTTATAAAACAACATTTATTTATCAAAATGAATTCAGGATATATAGTTCTGTTTGTACAAATTATTTCTTTTATGGGAATTGTTTGCGGAAAAGGTAAGTTAAATAATGTTTTCACTGTTATAAATAGATGATTTGATATTACATATTATGTTCATTTCACAAAATAAATTCAGGATACATATAAAAATTTCAAAGCCATAATTTTTCGATTGGAAAGTAAACAATATTATAAGCGAGCTCATAGAGAAAATTTACGCTAATCTACTAAATATATAGCTGTAAAATAGGCATGAGTACATACACCATGACATAAGTCATTAAAATATATCAAAATGTTCATGTAGATTTGCTGGTATATAAAACAATCTTTTATAATTTACTAATATATCTTAATGACTAATCAAAATCTACCAAGAATTGAAAATTATGCATATTCTTTGGTCGAGACCTTTAAATTCAATTACAAAATACTTTGTGGTGAAGGTTTTTTTCCCGAAACGTCCACAATTGATGCTGATATTCTTTTTTTTCCTCGAAATAAGGATGATTTATTATAACACTTTAAGTACCCGGTAATTAACGAAACCCTTTTAATGTTATTATTTTCCTGAAATCTTTTAAAATATATATATAGATACATAAATGATACAAAAGTAGTCATCTACTAGAAAAAATTTTCTAAATTAAAGTCTATACTAGATTGCTTTATATTACATGTTAAAATACTTTATTATAAGCAATGAACGACTGTCTTCCCTTATTTTTTCTCCCGGAGAATTCCATTTGCGCTATTAGATATGACATAAAGGCCAGTTTACGAAACATCCATTATATTATTTGTACCAAATTTCCTTAAAATCATAAATTTGTGTACTTTGAATATTTTGTTTGCACTGTTTGAATTTCTTTCTTGCTTTCTTTTCTTTCTGTTTGTTTCTTTCATTTTTTTTCTTTCAAAGATGCTTTTGGAATAAGAATTTTAAGAATTTAATTGTCATTTAAACAAGAAGAATGTAAAGATCCGTTAAAATCACAAAAGGTAATATTCAATTTAGTGGTACAATATGATTCTAATCTTCATAGGACACAAATTGTCCGGCGTGATAATATGTTCGTTTGAGAAGATTCTTCATCAGAGATAATTAGTGTGTAATGATAATTGAGCCGTGTCACGACAAAACCAACATAATGGGTTTGCGACCAGCATGGATCCAGACTAGCCTGCGCATCCGCGCAGTCTGATCAGGATCCATGCTGTTCGCTTACAAACCCTATTACAAGTAGAGAAACTGATAGCAAGCAGTATGGATCATGATCAGACTGCGCGGATGCGCAGGCTGGTCTGGATCTATGCTGGTCGCAAACCCATTATGTTGGTTTTGTCATGACACGGCTCAATTGTGTTACAAGTCATGCCAACAGTTTAAAAAAAACAAATGGCAAATAAATATTCAGCCACTGTCCCTCTGTTCATTGCGTAAATCATAATTCGGTCACCTGATAACATAAATGTTGATTTCAGGTCTACAATAGGCGATAAAAGGCGTCATTCGTTTCATTTAATCTCAAAATAAAACAAAACATTACAGTTTCAGATTTTTCAAATTACCATTTCATTTTTCCGATATAAACAAGTAAAATATATCAAGATTAAAGACTAATATTAAAACAAAACAAATACACATGAATATGCAAAAGACGCTCATTTTAAGAAAATATTATTAATGCGCACATGAAAGTTCGGGATTTAAGAAATGAAATTTCCTATTGCCTGAACCTTCATTTTCAATGTGTCTGGTGTACGGTTTTAGTGATTTAGTTGTAAAATCTTTAACAAGATCTTTAACTAGAACCCTATATAAAGGGACTTTGACATGACGTGATTCGAGAGTATTGTTCCATTTCATGTACGAGCGTAGGTCCAGATCAACAATTTCAGATCATTCGTTCACTCCATTAACCCAACGCGTTGCAACGTTTTTCATTCAAACTGGACTGAGAATAAAATAAAGATACGATTTTCAATGTATTTTCTTTTGTATATTTTAAATTACCATTTGCATATCTTCCTTTGAAAGCGCCCAGAGAATATATGGTTTCCTCCAATAGTTGAACAGCATAACATATTTACATACAAATATTAATAAAAACTAAAGAGAGGCAATTTCCTTAAGACTGGACTTGTCGAAAAACAAATACAATATCAAAATAAAGAAAACTTAATTAAATCAATTTCTTATACAACGAGAGTACTAAAAAGGTTGGTTAATACTTAATAGTTTATATATTACTCCTGATAAAATAAGTAAAATACACGTGATTACTCGCCTTCTGATAAAGTCTATTTTGCCACCAAACTGTGATAAAAGTAGAATGGTCTTCTGTAAAGCCAAATTTCTTTTGAAATCAAACATTTAAGTATGATTTTAGGTTTTCTTTTGCATTAGTACCATTACTGAGTTCACCATAAACCTATCTAGATTCAGCAGAACTTCACCTATTTCCCTCGTATGTGCAAGCGGAACTCCGTGGCACTGTCACTATACCGGTGTCATGGAAACAGAAGTCGTCTGCAACCTTGACCATTGCACAAGACCTCAGCGGAACGCTTACTGATGTTTTAAAGGTCAATGGCACGGAATACGAAGTCATAAATTTCTGGAATGGCAAGGCAAGCGTGGAATTATCGAATGGGACAGAAATAAGATGGGCGAATATCACACTGACAAATGTGGCGCTTGAAGATGAAGGGGTTTACACGGTCAAGATCAGAGAGGGAGCCACGGATGAAGAGACTTTGTATAATACAGGCCACTTAAGGATCGATACATACGGTTTGTTATATTTAGGCATTTTTGTAAACTGTCATCAATTTGGTTGGATCATGAGATTTGCTAAAAGATTGAGGAGACTGCAGATATACATTTCTGTCGTATCAGCATACAATTAAACTTTAGACACATGATAAATTTCACTACATGATGTATTATGTATGACGTTATTAAACATTGTTGAGTACAATACTGAATCCTACTGGACGAGTACACAGATGTCAAACTATATTGGACGAGTTGCACGTCGAATCTGATATAGGTTTTGCTACTGTGTACGAGTCCAATAGAATCGGTATATTGTTCTCAACCATGTACTTCTTTATTTCATATCACCATTTATGATACTTTGACAGAACATTGTTATTTCTATTGCAAAAAAAAAAGGATTTGATATGGATTTTGGACTCTCAAAAAAGAAATAGAGGCTAGATGGGGAGCGATATAGTTTAGATATGAACCTTTTGCACTCTGGAAATGAAAAGGTGGCTAAATTGACAAGATTGAATTCAATAATGAAAATTATTGGAACAGTAGTGCAAGTGATGAAAGTGCAATGGTTATATATTGTTCTAGCACATTTTAAATGTTTGTTAAAAATAATGAAATTCCTTTAATAGTCGTAGTTTATAACTTCTTATTTGCAACATGCATATTGATATGAATGAAATATAAAATAATTTTGTATATATAGTGTACTCTTGAAAATATATTCACAGAATTGAAACATGTTAAGTTTCATCAATGTTTGGTAGTAAAATGGTGTTTTCTTTCTTAGTTTTGATATTTTACGTGATATACTATGTGTCCAATTTTGTAATGTCTGATATCACTGGCGATGAAATCTTAGTGCAATTGTAAATTAAGGGTTTTTCGTGAACTATTTATCTTAGCTAGTGGGTATAAGACTTGAAAAGAATGAATGAATCTATCAATGTTATTTTTGTAAGATAACGTTACCATTTTTGTGTTTAACAAATTTTTTAACTAGAGCATGTTATTATAGATGCGAACATAAAATTCACAAATCAGTTGGCAATTACTTCAAATTCTCAAGCCTTTGTTACTAGTATTTTGTTTATTTCTGTTTTATTTTCTTCGATATGTTTACAGCGTTGCCAATCTACATAAACATCGCCACTAGCAACAATCTCCAAGTCAATGAAGGTGCAGAAGTTAAGTTCACGTGCACCGGAAATGTAGGTCGGCCCCCTGGAACGCTGGAACTGGTTCAGTTTTTCTCTGCAGAATATTCCCCAACTGTTGCCATGATGTCTGTACCGGAACTGCCGGAAATCAGTAGAGAAATGCTTCCCAATGGAACGTTCAGAATTCAGCACGAGTTTCGCGTAAATTTATCTCGCACCGACAATGGAACAACTTTTAGATGTCGAAATGTTCATTATACACCCGTCTTCAACGTCATTGAAAGCCAGACATCCCCTATGACCTATGTGAATTGTAAGTTAGATTGAGTCAATAGTCTAAATATAATATAAATCTAAAAGTACCTTGGTTCTCAAAGAAACTTAATAAACCGGAAATATTTCATTGAATGTTTTAAAACTTTTAAAGTGTAAAGGGAGATAATTAATATTTACAAACTGATGTGCAATGGTTCTTCTACTATTTCTTTTTCTTCTCTTCTCCCCAAAACTACACTCAGTGAAATTGAAGATTATGTGTAAATCCTGCCTCCAGATTCGTGCTAATTTTCATAAAAACAATTTGAAAGTACATTTAACACGGGGGTGGAACCCCAATATGTATCTCAAAAATGAGCATCGGTAAAAATTATATATGAATTTCCGCTGCACCAGATGTGAAGCATAACACCAGATGTGACTGTAAAAATATGTCAATCGCAGGGTAAGTTTTCATCTTTTTAAACATTTATATAAAATTCAATCCTTTTTTAAGAAAATCGAAATGTGATTCTACCCTCCTGACTCTCCTATATTATCTATTTTTGTTTTGAATTTCTATGCAGTCTTCATCGAGATATTCTTTCCTTCGTGGGTTCTGGTGTGTCCAAAACATGCAATGTGAATGAAGAAATTGTCAATAAGCGGACTCAAAAAACAGAGATTTTACGAAATCTCACTACAGACCGATGCTGAACATTCAGACAAATCCTGATAGATTTGGCTACAAACGAAGGGAATCGCTGCTAAAAATTGCATTTGAGCTCCATATGTGCTGAAGAGATCCATATGTGCATAATAAAAAACAAATTAGAAACATAATTACGCATCACTTTCATAAAGCAATCTATAATTTATTCTATTGTGTATTATTCTGAAATAAAAATATCATTATCCGAAATAGACACATTTTCACGAGACAAGCTTGAATAACATAATATCTATATAGAAAGAGGTAAAAGACATTCTGCATACGAAAGGTTTTGAAAATACATAGATATGATGGGAAGGCCTTGCTTATGTTGATTTATTGACGCCATGTGTACTGCAATCATTCCATTTTTATGCCGTCATGCATTAGGTAATTAACTAATTATTCACTCGACTGCACTGTCTGCCTAATAGGGGAGTAATGTGAAGCGTGTTTGAATTTGTTATGACGCTGTAAAAAAGTTAGTGATAAACTTTTTTGAAAAAGATCAAAGAAATTTTGCATATTTGTTTTTCACATTTCACATTTGGCTATTTAATGATTATATGGAAGCGGTCCGTAGTTTTGTAGATGGTTTTCTACATCACTTATGGATCCCTTCAGCACATATGGAGCTCAAATGCAATTTTGAGCAGCGATTCCTTCGTTTGTAGCTAAATCTCAATAAATGTTTAAATCAGGATTTGTCTGAATGTTCAGCATCGGTCTGTAGTGAGATTTCGTAAAATCTCTTCTTCTTTTTTTGAGTCCGTTTTAGTGACATTTTCCTTGTTCACCTTGCATGTTTTGGACAAACCAGAACCCACGAAGGAAAGAATATCTCGATGAAGATTACATAGAAATTCAAAACAAAAATGGGTAATATAGATGAGAGTCAGGAGGGTAGAATCACATCTCGATTTTTTTTTAAATGATTGAATTTTTTAATAGATATTTGAAAAGATGAAACTTACCCTGCGATTGACATATTTTTACAGTCACATCTGGTGTTATGCTTCACATCTGATGCAGCGGAAATTCACATATAATTTTCACCGATGCTCAGTTTTGAGATACATATGGGGTTCCACCCCCGTGTTTAAGAGTGAAATAAATATTGTGAAGTGGAATGAGAATTTGAGATTTTTAAAGGTCACAGTCATTAAATAAATGAGTAGGATACTCAACTATTTGCATAAAAGTTCTACAATCAGTTTTATCACCAAAAAAAAATCTTTAAAACTAGACCCAAGTTTTGTAAGATGATAATATATATTATGTTTTTTAATATTTTCATAATGATTTCAACTGTAAATATTGAGGATGGCTTCTCTAAACTGAATGTTTGGTGTTGAAAAGAGAAACGCTCCATATTCATATAAAGGCTGGAGGACGGAGCAGGGTCAATACTGTATATATATACATATAGGACAAGAGAGCAGAATGTACATAGCAAAAAATACAGTTCTCTATGTGAAAACGGTATTATATGGAAGGATTGAAAAACTTAAAGAATATTAGTACTTTGTCTATGATTTACTTTTACAATATAGTTAAGTAAAAGTTAGTGAATTATTCAATTTTGCCTTTCGACTTGTAAAATTTACAGGGAAGAACTGAATATAAAAAGTCTTTTCATTGGACATTTTAAATTACAAAATAAAATCTGCGATTCTCATTGGCCATTATAAAAATAAATGTTAAGGATAGTTCTTGTTATTCTAATATAGTGCTAAACTAAAATTTAAATGATATAGAACTTTGTCGGTCTTATTTGAGAGACCGGTGTGTATACAATGATCACGGGTGCAATGATAGTTGTCACGGTTCAGAACTGTTCACTAATTAGGGGAGATGTGTAATACTAATTAGGGGAGATAATGATAAGTTTGATAAGCTTATTTTTCAAATTCCATAAGGCCACATGGCCCGTGAGGATACACAATACAATATATATATATATAGCAAGACAGTGTACAAAAATAAATTTCAAACAAGTTTTAAACTACAACGGAGAAGGTTTACATTCATTTGCATGTTGAAATATGTTAGTATATTAATAATCCATTTCTAATATTATCTAAATGTTTACAACATTATGTATGTGTTGTATTCTATAAACAACACCTGCTCTTCCTTGTCACAAAATAACTATGTGTGTTAGATATATGAGTCCTTACATACTAGTCATATCCTGATCTTGTCAAAACGAAACACAAGACCAACATAAATTATGAGTCTTTAATATTTTAGATAGGAATTTGCATACTGTAAGTATCCAAGATGAAGAGAGATATTCTTTAAATGCTCGAAATCTAATGCTCAGTTAAAAAGAATACAACAATATTATTCTGTAATGTATAGTCGTATGAACGTTACATCGTGACACTAAATTATTATTCGGAAGAAGAGTCGTGGAGTAATTTTTAGAAAACTTTAAAATTTGCTATCATGCATATATGTAATCATATACATATACACATGACATATATATACATACATACACACACATATATACATACAAAATAAATATACTATAAAAGTTACACTTATTGACATGATCACATCACGAAGATTGATTACGATTTGTATACAACTTCTCTTTTCTAATTTAAAAAGCGCTATGCACATATTTACCAAACTTACGTGCTACACAAATGTTTTCCGTATTTAATAAGTCTATGAGTTTTAACATATTTGGTATTTTCCAATAGTAAGTAGGTATTAAACGTTTTCTTATATCACTATATAATTTACATTTCAATACAAAATGAAATTCGTCCTCTAGGACGTTACAACAAAAACAAGTTATTTCATTAAATGGTGTACTATGGGGTTTAGTCCATCTACCAGTCTCAATATGAAGCCTATGAGATGATACTCTTAATTTAGTTACACTACTACAGAATCTTTTCACATGAATAAAGTTAAGGTATGGTTGAAATTTAAAGTCGGATATTTGTTTATAAAACAGAGCTCTACTCGAGTTATCTAATCTACACGACCAATTCTGTACGAATTGATCTGTTAATCTTTGTTTTACAATACATAAAAAGTAATCAGAGTTTCCCACACTTTGCATTAACCAAGCATCATAAAAACCTAAATCACACAGAAGATGTTTTACAAGTAAACACCAGTTTGTTTTGTTGGGAAAATTTTCAAAATCGTTTTTCAGTAATGTATAAACTTTCTTCACATATTTATTTTCATTTGTATGCAATATCTTTAACCAAAATTTTACAATATTGTAATAACGTACCGAATTTAATGATATTCTACCTAGTTCACCATATACAAAATCGTTTTGAGTAACTTTTTTGACACCAAGAATCCGTTTACAAAATTGCATATGTACTCGTTCTACACTATTACCTTGAATAAACCCCCAAACCTCGCTACCATAATTCAAAAAATAGGCATTATAAGTTTATCAAATAGTTCCAATCTATGGGAAAGTGAAATGTTAACAAATTTACACAAATACTTATCCATTTTAAAAATTGCTTACTGTGTAATCAGCCGGATAGCTCAGCCGGTAGAGCCGCGGAACGGTATTCCGATTGTCCCGGGTTCGAGTCCTGCACATTTTTGTCAGCCTGCCATTATGAAATAAAATATATAGGATTAGTTCTTTAACTTTCTAGTTAAATTGCTCATATGTTTAACAATACTACTTTCATTCTGATTCAGATCTCATTGCATGGGCTGGAGGCCAAAAAGCATTGTCATTGTCATTGAACATTTTATTTTCCGATGAACTTACTGAGTTTATTTTACCAGAGACATATAGAGAACATTATCTATGTCTCTGATTTTACACAAGAACTGAGGTTGTTGTTGTTTTTTTAATTGTCCAAAATAACGAGAATAATATCAGAACTTAATCAGGTACCCTTGGTTTATGATGTTCGATAAGTGCTAATTTATTATATGATTATTGATGCGTTCAACTAATACAATGTTTATACTCTTTATATATTTTTGCAAGCCGTATGCTTAATTGTTAACATTTCTAAATGACTGCATCTCAAGTATCTTTTTAAAGATATACTTCTTGTTTATAATAATTTTATTTAACCATAATTCTAAATTTAAAAGAAAATCCCAAAAAACGTTTTGAATTGATGTGGGACAAAACTCAGTACATAAATATTAAAAGATCCTCTCATGATATGCATAGCCTAGAATATATTTTATATGTGGTAGGCCTAGGTATTATCAATACCATGAATGCTGTGGGTTCGGGAAATTATTTGTCAGTCTTGATAGTAATTGACAAGTAACTAATCTTATTTAAAACACTCATTGCATGTTTACAAAACTTAGTCATGCTTCAAATATATGATGCGTTTCATGGACGGCTGTTTAACTATTTTAAGAATGTGTATTCAAAAAATCTCAGGTCAAAAATAGTCCGTCTTAAAAGCGTGTACTTGAAGAGTATACTTAATTTATTTTAATTGTCATACAAGAAAATAAATAAACATACTAATTTAATAATATAAAGGGAAGATAAAATACAATAGGTA